TTTGGATTTCTTAAAATTAAAATAATTGGAAGTATCCAATTATTCTGACTTTAGAAAAATAATTAACAAACACTGTGGCCTTATCATTGAATCAGTAATAAACCCGACGCTTCAAGTATCTGATGCACAGTTAATCAAACCAATATCCAGATATTTATCCTTTTACTGATCAAATCAATCACTATAGATTCTCAATTTAAGCGCCTCAACTTTTATCTCATCTCAAATCAAATGCTTTAGCCTTTACTGATTAAACAACAATCTGCAATTTTCTTGATTCAAACGCCTTAATCCAAATTTCAGAGTAAACTGAAAAGAAACTGTAAAGATAATCCTTTCTGAGAAATACGCGCACAAAACCCTAGTTCTTGATTAAAAGCCAAAGAAACGTCCGCCTGATCAAAACTTGAGCTAAAATCAACCAAACCCTAAGCCAAATGTTAGAACTATTCCAGAGCCATGAAAATCAATGAAAACCCTAATTTTGTCTGACTGACGAGAAAAGTCTGTTTGACCGATTCTTGAGCCAGTCTGAAAAATCAGGAAAAGCCTGAAGCTGTGATTTCTTGTGGAAAGATACGAGGGTAAATTTTGGGGTACAACAGTTGCCCCTGTTCAATCTTCTTGGACCTGAAGAGTTAGATTGGCAAGTTTGTCATTCGCGACTCGAGGGTAAAAGGAGATTGGACACTAGAGTGCCCAGAAAATTTGCACTCGGCGATGTGATGGTAGAGGGAATGGGCTTACAGATGCCATTTGGAGATGGGCTTAACGATGCCATCTAGGGATGTGATAAAATCTTGTCGGGGGATGGTTTTAGAGATGCCATCTGGAAATGGGCTTAAAGATGCCATTTGGAAGGTTTATTGAACTACAATGTGACGGGTCCGAAGAATGAGGATCAAAGGGGGTATCCGTGTCTGGAATGTATTTGAACTATATCTAAAGACTGAGTTTGTATGAGTAGAAGAATGGCCTCTGTGTCTGGGGCGTATCTGAGCTGTAACTGTGTTTGAAGGGTAGAATGAATATCAGAATGACTGCCGTGTCTGGAGTGTATCTGTATTGTATCTGGGTAACAAAGAAACATCTGTATGGAGAAAACGCGTGCTGGGGATAAATTCTGAATGAGTGACAGAATGGAAACCATGTTTGGAGCGTATCTGGACTGTATCTGAAGTTGAAAGTTGTATGAGTAGCAGAATGACTTCCGTGTTTGCAGTGTATCTGAAACTGTAACTAGGATCTAGATAAATGACAGAATGACTTCCGTGGCGAACGCACTGGGGAGAATCAAGCTGCTGTTGTAAGGGTCAGAATGGTATCCGTGTTTGGAATGTATTGAACCTTGAGGTGGACAAATGAATCTGAATGAGAGAATGACTGCCGTGTCTGGAGCGTATCTAGTCCGTATTTGATTGCTATAGTCCGAATGAGTAGTAGAATAACCGTCGTGTCTGAGGTGTATCCATATTGTATCTGACTTGAGATTCTGAATGAGTAATAGAATGACTACCATGTCTGAAGCGCATCCATACTGTATCTGAATAATTGTTAATGATAGCCTTCTAATTTTATCCTGAAAAGGGTGAAACGTTAGCTAAAACACAAAGTTATTTTGCATGATATGTATGATGCAAAATATGTTATATCAATGTTTATGATATGAATGTAGATGAATGCGTATGTAAGCCGACGAGCTGTCTTGCTGAGGACAGATGAATCCTGGAGATAAAGAATCCTGACTGCTGCCAGGGAAAGTGGATCCTTGACTGCTGCAAGGGAAGACAAAAATCTTGATTGCTGAGTGTTATACCCCAAAATTTTCCCTCCCATATTCCTCAAGAAATTGCCCAGCCAAGCTACAAAATTTCCCAAGGGTTGTGCAGTGCAACAGTCTCCCATACAGTCAAAATTAGGGTTTTGAGTCTGATCAAAAAAAAGGAAGTTTTCAAAGGCTCAATCAAGTCTCATATGCTTACAAACATGGTCAAACATCCTCATATCAAGTTTCAAGGCATTCAGCTCAAGATTGCACAATCAAAACCCTAAATTGCACTACAGTCAACTGTAGGGGCAAAATGGTCATTTGACAGTCAAAAGTTCAAATTTTTGGTCAACATATCATTTTGAAGCCACAAACATCATTTGATCAATGCTTGATCATGATTCTCAAAATTTGGCTCAGAAATCATCAAAGATGCAAAAGTTGCTATATTTGGACAGCTGAAAAAGTCAACTGAAATTGACCAAGGCATAACTTTCACATGGATTATCAGAAAAATTCCATCCAAAGCTCATTTTGAAGAGAAAGACATTTCCTACAACTCATCTTCATACTTCAAGTCCAAGAAATGCTCTCACAAAAAGTTATCAATTTCAACATTATAGGTCATTTTCAAAAGTCAACAAAAAGGGACTTTAAGTCAAAGGCCATAACTTGAGATTGGTAAATCAAAATGACATGGGACCAAAGGCATTGATTAAAGGACTCAAAGACCTTTCCAAAATGTCCAAGAACATGTGAAAAGCTTAAAAATTGAGCAAGTTATGCCTTGTAGAAGTTGGGAAATTTTTGTGAAATGGCAAAAGTCAACTATCCTTGAAATTCCAATTTTTGACAAAAGGGCCCACTTTCTTCCACTTGATTCATCCTTGTCATGCCACACACGTGTCCCATGGTTAATTTCAAGACCAAATATTGATTTTTCTATTTTATTTAATTTTTAATAATTTAATTCATTTTAAATCTTTGAAAATTCAAATAAAATTCAAAAACCAATGGAATAGTGTCATGTGAATTTGGACAATTTCTATGTATCATGGGCCAACTCAAAAGCTCAGGCTAGGGTTAAGTTTCATACTAAGTCTAGGTCTTGGCTTAAAAGAAGGAAACTTGGTTAATGGTAAAAACCCTAAGACTTGTTCTTTCCTAGGCATGAATTAAGGTCAGTTAGCAAGCCAATTCCATTCCATGATAATCACTAAGTCAAACCCTAAGCCTAAGACATCATAAGCTGCGCCCAAACAAGCTTTTGCAAATTGAAATTTTTTCCTTAAAACTCAAACACTGAAAACTAGTTTAGGGGTCGATTCAAGCCTTAATTCTTTTCCCATTAGCATCCTGAGGCATCACTGAACACATCCCAATTCCTAACATCAATCAAAACGCCAAGAAACGGTAGCTACAACTCAAACTGTGCCGTAAAAAATTTCAAATCGCATATCATAATCTATGCATCCTTGTGCATTTTTGTTCATGAATCCTTATTCAATGTGAAGTTTGCAAGCTGACCATAGCTTTTAATTGAATTTTCGTGCACTTTTAGCCAAGTTACCATGCTTGTTCTTTAGGGTTTTCAGAAGGAAAATTTAGGGGTTTCATAATAAAGCAAAATTGGCCCTCAAGACCATGACTGTTACATTCAGCAAACCTGGACGAGTCTGAAATACTGCTCGCGATCAATTTATATAGGCCATGGCGCTAGTCGCTATTTTTCCATAGCCTGCCTAACACCACGGTTGCAAAACCGTTGCTTATTTGTTTTGTTTTACAGGGACGAAGAAGAAGGACTCGTGGCATGCAGGGATTGGGAGATTTAAAATTTCGCGCGCGCTCCAAGTGTTGTGCCACATTCCCTTTATATTATTTATTTGACGTTATATATTAAATGAAACACAAGTGGTTCAGTGGCAGGTGGAAGCGTTTGCAAGGCACAAGACCTGGGTTCGAGTCCCAGGTCTGGAAAATTTCCATATTATTTTTCTCTTAGTCATTACGTGCAGACATAACATGCAGGCTCACCATATCCTCTCATCATCAAGCCTACACGCGTCCCAGAGGTCCTAATCAAAGGCTGAGGATTGAAACACACCATGGGCATAGGTCAACCTTGCCACACGCTGCTTGGAATAGTCAACAAATCCCAGACTTAATGGGCCAATGTTCTTGGGCCAACACCTCCATAATGGGACAGAAAACCCCCCTGGTTCTATCTTTTCCAATTTTCTTTATCTTTTATTATTTTTAATTATTTATTTGTTTATTTTATTTTCTGATTTAATTAATTCACTTTATAAAAAAAAAAACATAAAAACATTAAAAATACAGAAAAGACAAAAAATATAATTAATTTTGATTATTTTCATGAATAAATAAAAGTGTAAATTATTTAATTTAATTAGGGTATAATTTTAATCCTTTTAACAAAAATCCAAAAAATAGAGTTTAGGTTTAATAACTGTTTATTTTCTTTTTATTTTTTCCCTTTTTTCCACAGCAATAATTATTTATTTATTTATTTTCCATAAATTAAAAATTGTACATAAATTAATTTAGAGTTAAATTAGGTTAAAAGTCAATATTCTCATAATAAACTTAAAAAACATTAGAACTAGGGTTTAGCATTTTAATTTTAATTAATTTTTCTTTTTCCTCATTAAATCTAAAAAACACAAAAAATACCATTTTCATTTAATTTTAATTTTAAATTCCTTGTTAATTTTAATTGTTTGCAAAAAAGGGTCCAACGCCCATTGTCTTAATTATTTTATTTTCGCACATTTAGTTTATATCGTTTAAATAATTATGTATATGCCCCAAAGCCTTGTAATAACTTTTACTTTATTTCTCGCACTTTTATTTTATTGCTTTTTTTACTTTTAGTCAAATCGGGTTCGGTTTATTTTGGCGATGTGGACCCGCGCCGTTTGTAATAGTTTAGATTTATTTTTTCGCAAACTATATAACTGTTAATAAATATGCATGAAAGAATGTATGGACTTAAAAATAAAATCAAGCTTAGATCACAACAAACATGACAAGACAAAATAATTGAAACATGACACACGGACCGCACACACCACTCCTAGGGTACGCCTCACTGTTGCCTTTCGAAAGGTGATCGTCGAGTAGAGGACGTCTTAGTAAGTCCTCATGATCCGGGAACCTGGCATGAGGGTAGCTTCTAAGGTGTCTTCCCATTGCTCCGGTGATCACCATGTCCCTAAACCTCGAATTGACCCGAACACCTCCAACGGTGGTGCTACCTACCTCTCAATGGTGGGATGGCACTACTTTAAAGGACATTTACACAGACGAATTCCTTAGGGTAGGTAGACGACTCATGGATACTTGCTCTCTTCAAAACAAAAATTCAAAGACTTTTCACACCAACACACTTTCAAAAACTTTCAAAACAAACTTTTCAAACACTCTGACGTACGAGTTGAACTGAAACTTTTCAAAGAATATTTTTGAAACCCACATTGAAAAGCAAGCAAACATTTTTGAAAACACATTGAGCAAGTATCTAAGAGCCCATGGATCACTACAAGAAAATTAGGATTTTACGACACAAAAATTGCGACAGTTACTTAATAACCGTCGTAATTCTAATATAGAGACCCATGTCACGACGGTATACACCTACCGCCCTAAAATGAATGTTGCGACGGTTAAGAAACCGTCCTAAAATAGACATCACGACGGTAAAACAACCGTCGCCCCCCTAAACCTTTAAAAAACATGCAAAAGTTATGAAAGGGCACGACGGTAACCACACCCGTCGTCCCCCTAAATCCTTTACCCCGCTTCGTCTATTATGCTTTACTGCAATTTAAACCCAACTATTTCAAACCCAATAACACCGAACTTCACTCCATCATTTCCTGCATCACCTTCACCCCCCATGTTACTTACCGTGTTCTTTCAGACCCTATTCTCCAACCGCATTCCTGTTTATCCTTTTTCCACTTCCTCAAAACCCATCATTCCAACCATTCACTCAAACCTGACCTCAAGGCCCATTTGATTCTCTTTTCTAGACTCTTTAAAGCTCGCAAATTCGCCACCATCAAGACTATTCTGAATTCCGTTGTTACTGATTCCCAATTTCGCTCCCCAGTTTCGGGGATCGTTGATTTGCTTGATGAATTTGAGTTTCATTTTGTTGACAAGCTTTGTGATATGTTGTTTAGGGTTTGTTCTGATAATAGGTTGTTTCCAGAGGCGGTTAGGGTTTTTGATTATGTGGAGGAAAAGGGGTTCGTGATAGAGGAGAGGTCTTATTTTGTGCTTTTGCTTGCTTTGAAGAGATGTGGTGAGATTGAGTTGTGTCTTAGATTCTTCCGCCGGATGGTTGAGTCTAATGGAATTGAAATTAGGGTTCAGTCTTTGACACTTGTGATTGATGGCTTGTGTAAGAGAGGAGAGGTTGAGAAAGCTAAGGAGTTGATGGATGAGATGGTCACTAAAAGCATTGTGAAACCGACTGTGTTTACTTACAATACGTTGTTGAATGCGTATGTTGGAAGAAAGGATGGAAGTGGAGTTGGTGAGATACTGAGGTTGATGGAGAAGGAGGCGGTTGTTTTTAGTGTGGCGACTTATAGTATTTTGATTCAGTGGTATTCTAGTTCTGGTGATATTGGGGAAGTGGAGAAGATATTCGAGGAAATGCGTGAAAGAAAAATAGAAATTGATGTTTATGTTTATTCGTCCATGATAAGTTGGAATTGTAGGTTGGGAAATATGAAAAGGGCATTTGCGTTGTTTGATGGCTGAATTTGTAGGATGTCTGCAGAATTTTTCTGCATTTCTGACATGAAGTTTGCATGTTTTGTTATTTACAATTCTACTCTCCTCTTTCTCTTTTGATGTGTCAAAACAGGTAACGATGTTTAAGAAGAATTACGACCATCTTCCAAAGGACACATATTTTGGCACATACAAAGATTCTGTGCGCGGAAATCCGAACTATTTCCTGACTTACGGAAATGGAAAATCAGTTGCACGGGTACAAGATCACCTTCGGCCTAACGGTGCACACAGATGGCACAATTATATGAAAACCCCAAAGTATAATACATCATCAATATATACAACATTTTTGTGTGCATGATCTTTTTAATTAGTATCATGACGATTCTTCTGAAATATGACAGTGAAATCAAATTGGAAGAAGCTGCTGTTTTACATTACACATACGCCAAATTCTCTGATTTAACTTCTAGACGTGATCGTTGTGGTTGCAAACCTACCAAAGAAGATGTCAAAAGATGCTTCATGTTGGAATTTGACAGATCTGTAAGTTTCAGTTTTTCAGTTTTTCGATTCTAGGTATTTATCATTGCTTTCATTTATGCTAAGTAGACCTTATTATCAATTTCAGGCATTCATCATTGCTTCAACAGCAACTGAAGAAGAAATGTTGAAGTGGTATGCTACCTTCAATTTATATTCATTTATACTCTCCTACATAATTTAACCATTATTTTATCGATCTTCGAGAAACATTTGATCTTTTTTCTTGTTCCAGGTATAATGAGCATGTTGTGTGGGGTGATAAAGAGTTGAAGATAAAACTGTTGAGGAAAGGAATATTGACCCGCATATACGCTCCCACGGTCAGTGATAAGTTAGTTAAAGTTGTTCCAATCAATGTAGTCAAGCACGAGATCTTAAGTAGGATTGGTTATAGGAGCGTTATAGAGCTATAACATAGCTGTATTTAAACAAATCGCTATTGTTCTGCGATTATCTAATGCAAAATATTGTCAAATAGCAGACATAACAGCGCTTGCGCTATAGCAGTGCGGTATTGTGGAATTTGAACAAACTGCTAATCTGTGATCCGCTATTGACAACAGTGTGCTAGAGATAGAGGTGTTGCTATATCTATTTCTACATATTATACATTTCTTGATGATCTTGTCTCCAGGTCATAATACAAAGTTTGAGGGAATCCGGAGTATTCAGCTCCATCATTGCATCGGCGCCAACACTTTCCAAAGACAAGTTCTTGCATTCAATTGATAGTAGCAATTCAACAAGAGCTGTTGCCTCTATATTCCACTCATCCAGAAAAGTTGGAAGAATCAAAGAATCTCAAGCAACTGCAAGGAGGATTCTGGATCTTGAATCTTCTGTATTTCAAGAATCGGCCGTACCACCGGAGTCTCCTCCGGGTGTAGTAGAAGATAGTAACCTCATTTCACACTCATGATCAATTTCAGGACCATCCTTTCTTCTCCTTCCATACTCCATAGGTTGATATGTCATATCTTGTTTCTGTATAGAGTGCTATCATTGAATTCTATTTTGTGCTTTTTCCCCTTCATATTTGTTGATAGGATAATAGTGTTTTATCTCACATGCTATTGATTATATGTTATGAGACTTGTGCTAATGTATGAAGATATTAAACAACAGTCATAATCTAAAATATTTGTTTATTGTTTTATTGTTTACTTGGTGCAAATATTAATGTACATTTTACTTAAATATCTCTTTTATTTAACCTTCAATATTATTAAGGTGGAAAACCCAGAAAGCTATTCGGGTCATGGAGATTTTGGAAAAGCACGGCCAGGCTGATGTTTTTGCGTATGAAGCACTTTTAAATGGGTACTGTAAAGCTGATATAGTTGATGCTGCCAATAAGGTGCTTTTCATACAACATCAGTTTATGTGTATCTATGTTTATGTTGTTGATTAGCGGTCAGTCTGCTCTTGATATTGTAGATGAGGATTGCTTTGTTCTATATCATACAACATCAGTTTATGTGTATCTATGTTTATGTTGTTGATTATATATTACTTGTTTACATGGAGGTTCTGATATCTCAAGGTTAAAGATTATATTGAGTTTGTATTGTCATGTGATTTAGGAATGCCTCTGCACTATGGGAGTTCTATTTAAATACTACTGCACTTTACTTTGTAACTTCCATTTTATAAGATTTGTGAATCATCCCAATTTCGTGAACATTCAGCAGGGTCATTCATCTCAAGAGCTATGAATCACATAAAGAGATGATATTCAATGACCAAAAAGTATCACCATCAGGTCTGTGCATGAGAATATATTTGTTTTTAGTTAATATTTGATACATATATGTGAAAAAGATTGCTAATAGTAATATCTGATGGGTCATTCATCATAATTGTATTTGTAGCTTCAAATTTTCATGAAAGATGTGATGAAGAGAAATGAATTGACTGCATCTCTTGGAAATGATGAATTAGTCTTCATCCTGATAAGCTTAAAGCTTTCGGTTTATTTGTCAAATCTAAATTTTTTAGATTGCTAATATTTGACAGTTATAGTAGAGACAAATCATAAACTTTTGAAACATTTGAAATTTTGTTTAGAACTTAATCAAAGCTTAGAAATTCTGTTTAAAATCTCTCTGACTTTGTTTATGACTTATTGAAACCAGGTTTTTATTGGAGATATACTTGCTGCTAATTCATCTCACAGTGAGTTCTTCAATCTGTCGAAGCAATTTTGGAGTATTACACCAGAGGTATTTTCTGATTTAGTTGGTTTTGTGTGTTGAAACTCATCATCCAATTTTGGTAGTGAACATGGATATCATGTTTGTAATAACTATAATGTATTCTTTTACAATAATAATAATAATGTATAGTATACCTCTTATCTACACATATTTATTTAGATAGATAGTATATCATGTTTGTAATAACTATGATGTATTCTTAATATCATTTTGATTTTGTTAAACATACTATCAGTCCAAATATGGTAGATCTGCTATTGCACATGAGATTCAACTAGCATTTTCATTTTCATTTTATTAATTTAAATAAAATAATTAAATTTTTTCATGAGATTAAACATACTATCATTTTGATTTTGATTTTATTAATTTAAATAAAATAATTACATTTTTTCTATAATCAAATTCTATATATATCAACTAGCTTATTAGTCAAAATCTTCTTTATATATAGTATTAATTTGTTAATTACAATTTATCAGTGATTATAATTATTAGTTATATTTTTATAATACATTAAATTACTTAATTGATGTTTAATAAATTTTTTATATGTTTATGTTATGAATAGCATCAATTAGCCTATTGGAGATAATGTGAATACAACAATTGCAGACTTAATTAATGATGATGGAAATTGGAATTGAAGCCATTTAAGGAACATGTTCAGTCGGAAGTTTTTGGATATAATGCTTGTAATACCTCCACCAAGAACAAGGATATAGAGGATCATTGGAAAGGCATTTGGAATCTGAGTGTTACTAAAAGAATAAGGGTTTTTGTGTGGATGATATATCATAATGGAATCAAAACCAACCAATATCTAAACCACTTGAATCTTCCAGATAATTTGTGTGATTACTGTGATGGAAAATGTAGTAGTGTTGTAGCTGAGCTTTGGTGAGTAATGGAAGGCATTGATTTAGCTCGCACAAGGGCATAGAGAAGACTGATGGTGCAAGTAGACATCAACCAAGTTTTTGAAGCTCTCACAATGAGCTTAGTCGAGAAAGGTCTAGGTTTAAATCTGATTCCTAAAATCCAGGAATTTACAAGCACTAATGAAGACATTTCTATCGTCTATATTTATCAGGAATTGAAAAAGTGTGTCGACGTGCTTCTATATGAAGAATGTCCTCAATTTATGTATCATACATATCTAAAGAACTTGAGACGCCTTGATACATATCCAAATTTGATTAGGTTTCTCCTTAGCGGAAAGTGAATTTTATTTTATTGGAGATTTTGTTGTAGTTGATTTTTCTGTACCTTATAACTTTTCATACAATTGGAGTTTGATGATATTTGAATTTTTCTTGTTTATTGGTAAAATTTGCACTTCTTTTTACCTTTGATCACATTTTTTTGATATTATTGATGATTATTTGATATTAAATGTTTTTATTGTAATTAACTTTATTATGTTGAAAAGTGATAGAAAATAAAATAAAAATACTATAAATAAAAAAATATTAAAGTAAATAATAATTTAAATATAATAGTAAAATATTATAGTAAAATAATATTATATTTAAAATTATTTTACTAAATAATAATTTAAATAAAAATATTATTTGAAATTTATAAATCAGATTACGACGGTTAAAACCGCCGCAATTTCTAACCTACGGCGGTAGAATAACCGTCGCAAACAACAACAAAAACAAAAAATAAAGTCAAATTCACGACGGTATATAACCGTCGCTATCTGTTGTGCGTGACAGTTTTTGCAACCGTCGCGAAATAGGCTGGGGACGCACGATTCTGCGACGGTACTTCTACCGTCGTAGATTGTAAATTGCGACGGTTTTAACCGTCGTAATCAACCAAAATAACCGTCCCAATCTATCATTTTTCTTGTAGTGGATAACCATGGATAGAAAGGGTGCTAACACCTTCCCTTTCTATAACCTACCTCCCGAACCGAGAGCAATCTCTTTAAAGGAATTTTTCTGTGCTTTTGTCCTTTCCATTTGGAGAAAATAAAAGACGGTGGCGACTCTTGCTTCCGCGACATTTCGCGAACCAGCTTTAAAACAGTCAGTTCCAGATCCACCGATCACAGAACTGGCGACTCTGCTGGGGATACAAACTTAAAGTGAGGTGTACCTTAGGGCTAGCTCATAACTATGTTTTCAATTGTAGTGACTTGTGTGCTTTAAATTGTGGGACTGTCTTGGGAGTTCTATAGATCCTAACCCGGATCTGGGGATACCTTTTTAGAAAGTAGCAACAAGGCTGTGAGGGAACTGTGCGGGGTATACCGACATGGTTGAAACAGTCTGCTACGTTGATGTGGCACTTTGGTGTGTACCGGTAACCCTTGAGTTCAGTCAAGGAGAGTACGGGGCCTCCATGTGGTGTCATGAAGCATCAACAGACCTTAGGAACCTTAATTGAACCATCTTGGCCTCTTTAGGGTAGTGAGATAACTGACTTTGGTGCAGTCCGAGGTTGGTTGATACTCGATACTACACTCAATTGAGGGTTGCTTTCCTGGAATATTTCGGTCGCCAGTTCAGTGGCTAAATCGAAACGATGAACAATGAAAGCAGTCCCGTGATATTGGGAACCTTAGAACCCGGTTACTTTGATTAGGACAGGTTGAACCCACCCACTTCAAGAGGGTAGTACCCCAAACTTCATGCTGGCCTAAACTCTAAGGGCTCTTTTGTGTGACTTGTGTGCCTTTGTACTTGCCTACTTGCATGCTTGTTAGCTGACACATGAACCACTTACAGGTTTTGTTTATAGTCCTTAGCTAGGACTCATGACAAGGTTTACCAAATTTCTTGCAGGTTTTGTTTATAGTCCTTAATTGGGACTCATAACAAAGTATACTGAATTTCTTGCAGGGTCTGTTTATAGTCCTTAATTGGGATTCATAGCAGGGTTTACCTACATAACCCCATGCATAGCATGACATCATACCATCGCATACCATTGCATACATCCTAACCCATTTCAAGGATCTCAAGGGCTTGTGATGCAGGTCATATAAATCAAACATCTAGCAAGGGGCAAAGAGGATTTATTTCCCTCTAGCCAATGTTGTCAGGGGCTATGACCCACTTGATATGGTGAGCTCTGACTCCTGAATAAGGTTCCCTAACCAAGGTTGTTTGGAAATCAAAACCAGACATGATGACTAAAGTCAGGGGCTATGACCCACTTGATATGGTGAGCCTTTGACTCTTGAAGAAGAGTTCTCAATAACATGGGTGTCCTTCAATCAAGCTCTAAATTCCAATGCTAACAAATTTTCTGGTTTACCCCGCGAGATCCTTGAAAACATTGCATGCATATCATACTCATCCTTACATAACAGGTATCTTTGTTGCAGGTCACTTACCTTCCCCGCTGTTTATTTCAGCAATGGCTTCCCAACAAGATAACCAAGACCTTCTTGCTCAAGGGACTCGGTTCGAGGAAATCCTCCTGAATCTATCCAAGGGGCAGGAGGAGCTAAGGACACTTCTCATGGAGACTTTTGCCAAGAACAGTACTGAGGACGAACGGCTGGAACGCCTGCAAGCTGAGATAGATGCAATGAAAGCCCAGATGCTGGGGCAGATGACTGCCATTCAGGGTTTAACTCAAAGACAAGATGAGCTCGGGGTTCTCGTCAACAAACTGCTTCAGGGTAACCAACTGGGGCAAACATCTAAGGGTAAACAACCAATCATCGTTCAACCGCCTTTGAGACAAAGAGGCAAGGAGAAAGCTCCTCATATGGCTCCAGTATCACCAATTCAGCAGCAACTTCACCAACTTCAGACAGACAAGCCCAGAAGGCAGTTCACCCCGCTCAATATGTCGCTGTTTCAAGCTTTACAACGCCTGTTGAGATTGAACCTGATCACATTAAGGGCTCATCCCCAGAACCCCAACACAGCACATCCTGCTTATGATCCCAATAAAAGGTGTGCCTACCACTCTGCCTGTCCAGGACATGATGCAAACGAATGTTGGGCTTTGAAAAACAAGATCCAGGACCTGATTGATGAAGGAGCACTGGAATTCACACAAGATGGTCAGGCTGAATTTTTCTACCATCCCTCCAAGGCTCACCATTCGAAGTAACAAGCCCTGAGACTAGAAAGTTTTGTTCATTCGAATGTTCAAGTTGCAATTTTCTTTTGTTCAAACATTTACTCATGATTAAAACATTGTTATTTCATTAATGCATCGCTTATGTCTATTTTGAATCAATATATTCGCATTTACTGTATGCAAACTGTTTTCATATTTTTTCTGATGTCAACTCTCGTTAATTCTAAGCCTCTTGAGGGAGGATGACGAAAACGATACCACGATCTACAGTATGCTTTTGAACAGACCCCGCTAATGAGGTACAGGCATTGTTTCAATCCCTAAACACTGGAGTTATAAGGATGATAATCCCTCGTCGACCCCTCTGAGCCAAAGAAGTATGAGTTTTTCTTTTCGAAATTTAAAACCCTTTATCATAACCTGGGGCAGGGTAGTTCTCTCAGTTG